GTGCCCTGGGCGTGGCGTCTGCTCCGGCGGGAACAGGGACTTCCTGGAACTGGTTGAGTTGGTAGTTCTGAGGAGGTGGCCGATCATCTTCAAGTCATCGAGATAGTGATGACGACGAGGCAGTTGCTCAGTCTCTATAGTCTGAAGGAACGAGCATATTAACGGTGGGGGCTGTGTTATGGCCGATAGTACCAACGTTGTCGATGCCGGCATTATTATCAACGACTTTGTTGTTAACGTCGGCGATGAGGAAGTTCATGTTGTTTTCTGCTGTTTGATCAACCATGACAGTCAGAAGAGTGATTTAGCTTTAGTCTTGAGTAAAAACAAGACGGGGAAGCAAGTTTTCCACAGACGGCGCCACTGATCGTACCTGATCAGAATGGACCGTCACAACTTCATCGAGCAGAGTTTGAGTGAGATGGAGGGTACCTGCAAGACACTCTGATGCCAAAGTAAATTGCGGAATGAGCAAGCAAGTGTGAGAGTAAAAAAGTGTTGAATACCTGACCCTCTCGAAAGAGAGGGTATTTATAGCCATCAGTGTTGGACCAAGGTCTCTACATTGGACTGGTCAAGCAGGCCCAACGTATAGACTGTCAGGTCCTATGTGAGTAGTGAGGACCCGCACGTGGTCCCCTACCTGGATGACGTCCTCCGCAAGGTCAGGAGGATATGGATGCGATCTTTCCGGGGCCACGAAGACTCCGTGATATCCGGAGACGTTGGTAGTCAGCCCTACGAGGAGGATGCTCGGGAGGAGCATCTACCCGTCGTGGGTGATTCCCGCCATATGCGAGGTCGAGTGAGGGAACCAGTCTTGGTCGACGAGCTAGTCGGGATATCCTCGAAGCCTTTATGGTCGGATGTGACCGTCCTTAGTCTACTCGGGGTGTTGTCCCCGTGTGGTGAGGTTGTCTCCTCATAGGGAAAAAGTGATAGTTATCCGCCGTACTCGAGGATAAAACCTGTCAGTGGTGCAGGTTGACACACTTAATTGGACCTCACTAGAAATTGAACCAAGGTCAGACCTAGTCCAAAACAGTTATTTTATGCTATTATGTTGTAGAGTTCAAATAATCATTAACATGCAATATTAATGCTTTTGAAGATTAGGTGTGATTCAATGGTGTGAACGTCTCTAGGTTATGTTCATTAATTATTTGTTTGAAATCACGGAAATATTATCCAGACCTCTTTTATTAAAATAATGAAAATCACGTGTTGTTATTATATTAATTAAAATCAAGTATTGTATCCTCTACTATAGTATAATCCACTTTCAATAGAATTAAAGTATTGAGAAAAGTGTTGTGCATATTATATTTTTATGCTTACAAGAGCTATAGCTAGTGTATATGTTGGAATGGAATATTTGGTAGAGAGGATTACTGGTAGTTAATTACCTTCATCTTGAGAGAACCATGAACTCTCAAGGAGAAATTAATTTTTATTTATGCAGAGTTTTTCGATCTCTATGATCTATCTTCACGATTTGATTCACCTCCACGTCTCTCTAGTTGATATAATTGTTTTTTTTTTGAGAATTTATTTGTAAACTCATTTTCAAGAGCAATTTAAATAGAGTTGTCAAATAGACCAATTTAATCCAATTCATTTGGTCTGATGGACCAACACATATAAATAAGTTAGGATAGAGTCAGTCCGATTACTTTATGGACTATCAAAATTGAACTTGATCTAATTACTTATAAGCCATGTAGTTTAAAGGGTCAAGTCTGCCTATATCGAAGTCCGCTTGATCAATCCGATCTGACCCATTAAAAATATCGGTTCAATAGATTGACTCAAAAAGATAACGTCGGATTTTTTATACTTCTTTATGATCTGCTCCGTATAAATTTTTTTATACTTTTTGATGATCTGCTCTGTAAATTTTTTTATACTTTTTGATGATCCGCTCTGTATAAAAATATAAGGTTTATGGGTCGGTCCAATAGATTAGATTTTTTTAAAAGCTCTATGTAAATCAGTAATGTTTTCTTTATATTTTCGTAAAGAATATAGATTTAAATTCATAAAGTGTTTCATATTAAATGTGTTTTTTTTAATAATATTTGTTTCCATTTAATATAAAGAATGTATCTACACAAATTATTAGTGAGGAAAATTGTAATATGTTATAAATTTGTGAGGGAAATTGAAATTTGACCTAAATTAATGAGAGAAATTAAATCTGTCATTAATTAGTCAGGGAGTTGAAATCCTTCACTAATTTCCGATGAAATTTTTGAAATACATATAAGTTTTTGTCAATAGTTATTGATCGATATATTTTATTTATGATAATTTATTTCGTCACAATTTCTGACAATCCAAATTTTCTTGTTAATTTTTGTGAGACTGAAATTTAATATGAAATTTGTGTCGTCGTAAATTCGGGCACTAAAATGATTTGTGTCATATTTGTTTATTTTTCCGAAAAATCAATCACTCGTAATCGAGATATATTAGGTTTACAATATTTCAAAAATCACTTATAATCAAGATGTAATAGGCTTACAACATTTCGAAAAAATAGTTGTAAACAAAATACTTTATAACAAATAAAAACAACAGTGTTTCTACCAAATAAAGTCCTTGTATCACAACTCTTCAAATAAAATAACCAGACACATAGAACATATTCACGGTGTCTTCAAATCAAGGAATATAAGACTATTTTTTATGGTTAGCTCTGCAACATGTGCATGGTGCAACAATTGTTCTGACCATAACTTTTCTCTCTTTTTTATATATTTATTTGGTAGTGTTGGAAATATTAAAATTCAAAAAAAATAAATAAATCAATTTATAAAGGTTGAGTTACTCTTGTACCCAAACTTTATATAACTAAATGATACCACACTGATATTGAAAACATGGTATATTTTAAGATGGAACTGCAAACTAAATTTAATTTTGAGCTCATGAACAAGCCTCATATGAAAGAAAAGAGAGTAAATGTGAGCAAGGACTCCTCGCCAACAACATCCCAACAAGAAAGGAATCTACATTGGTAGAACTCGTCGGCAAGTCATCCTTGGCTCAAATCTACTCTCTGTGCCTCTTCATGCAAGACCTTTGAGCAAATCAACAATGTCAATGAAACTCAACCTATTATCTCCTAAACTCAAACTCAAATGCGTGTCATTCCCTTCATTTGGTCATGAATTTATAATCACAAAATTAAAGTCAAAGGAATTATTCCATATTAAATTTTGACCCCTTTTACCAAGGTTTTCGTCTTTGACTCTTCTTATCCGAAACCGTTATTGATATGCGTAAATTTTATTTTGCTACAGGAAAAAATATAGTTGACAATTGGCTCATTATTTTGCCAAAAATGTTTCTTGATTGGTTAATAATAACTCTTGTTGTGGGAATAGAATATAACACAGGGAACTAAAGCAGCTAGAGGAGTGGTTACCCATGTGTTTCGGTTTATGGTGTGGTATTGTCAATGTCTAACAATATTTTCTCACAAAAATATAGCTTATCAGAAGATCGTATCTGATAAGATTTTGACTTTGTTAATTAATGGATTCCATAAGAATATGAGCTAAAAGACCTACTTGTTCTTCATCAATAACTCAATCAATATCTGTTTGTTCTATAACGGTGTACTGTTTTCCCAAAATATACACATCTAGTATGGTCCAATTAAAAAAATATTGAAAGAGATGGCAGGTTGTATATATAAAGACATAAGTAGATTTAAAAAAATATAGGATTAAATATGTTTATGGTATTTCTAAATATTTGATATTTTCACCTTTTGTCCACAAACATTTTCTTTAATTCATAATAATTTTCTTTGGCATTTTTAATCTCTTATGTTAAAACAGTCTTAAAACAATTAATTCAGTCATTAATTAATAAATAGTCATTAAAATTATCTTTAATGTTGTTGCTAAGTTGTAGGATGGATCAAAAGTGTGAATGAAAATTAAGAAGAACAATTTAAAAAATAAATATTTTAAAGAATTAAAAATGAGTTATGAAATATTTAAGAGAATTACAAACATATTTATCAAAAGATATCATTCAAAATTGAATTTATCATTTCTAGTAATTTTTAATATTATTAACTTGCTTACGGACAATCCAATTATCATATATTTTTCCCTTATTTTGCTTTTGTGTTTTAAATTTTTTTAATTATTTGTTTGATAAAATTTGTTATATGTATTTGTATGCAATAATTTTAGTTTAAAATATATGATAATTGTGATTATATATATATATATATATATATATATATATATATATATATATATATATATATATATATATATATATATATATATATATATATATATATATATATATATGCTGGTCAAGAGTCCCTACAACCCCGGTTCAAAGAATACAATAATCCACGAGATCACTCACGCAATGGGAGTATCATCATGGATTGGAGCGCCAAAGATTAAAATATAGGGTCTATCCAACGACTCCCAACATCTTAGGCCTAAAGATTATTAAGTTGTTACAAATGCTTTACCATATTAAGAGGAAACACATTATTTTTCAGATGCAATTCAAATTCAAATTTCATTTACTCATCTTACTCTCATATTGACTTGAGCGTTGGAAGCTTAAATCCACCAATCTGATCCACAATACTCATTCTTCGATCAATTATGGTTCCTTCGTGGAATTCGGGAGCCATTTGTGAGAATTGAGATTTGATTCTCATGTTTTCCTTGTTGGAATTTTCAATTCGCGATTCATTGAACCAAAGCTTCTTAAGCCTAGAAAATATATTCCCTGAAACCAACCACCAGATCTCTCTTTTTGATCTACTCCAATCGTAGATCAACTCTAATTGTTAATTTCTCATATCTCTGATTTCCAGATCTTCCAACGATAGCATATTTTAGAGCCATTTTCCTCATAGCGTTGCGTGAGGCCGCCGCCGCTCCTCAAGCCTCTTGAAATCTAGCGCCTCATCTTGAAAACAGAGGCAATCAAGTCCTCATGAGCAATCTTCTACATTAAGATCTTGTTTCTCCTCCAACGTTCATAGGTTTCACTATAAAGATCCAATAAAGAGGACTTTCATTCAGCACTTCAACACCTTCGGTAGTACCAGGACCATAATCGCCTGAATTCATGTTTTTACAAGTCAACCTCAACGTGTAATGCGCAAAAAAACTATTAAACAACATGTAAAACATGGTTCAACAATAAAAATCACAAGCTATGAAAGAGGGGTTACTTCGTCTCAAAGAAAAGCTTTCACAATGCAAATCCAAAAGGTAATAGAATACAAAAAGTCACATCCTAGATAAGTCGTACCATCATTCCTAAACCGACTACGTCTCATCGAGTGCAGCCTCGAGATCTTCAAACCATCAAAGAAGCCAGAGGCATTAGACTCTTCCTCATAGTCCTTAAGGAGGTCAAGGTAGTTATGCTCCACTCGAGAAGCTAGTGGAGAAGCCTCCGGCAAAAAACTAGTAGAAGAATTCTCTTTTCGCCTGCATCCTTGATAGACGGATACCAAAATCTATGGAGAAACCTCTAAAGCTGCATGATTTTAGGGGAAAGATGAGTGTGATGAACACGTGTAACATATTTATGAACGCTTGAATTATTATTATGCCGATGATATGGCAAAGTGCAAGCTCTTCAAACTAACGTTAATTTGATCAACAAGGATCTAGTTCAAATCTCTGCCCAATGGGAGCTTCGATTCATGGACATACCTCTATGAGAACTTTACCGCTCATTTACGACTAGGATAAAGCAGTCCGTGATAATAGGCGTAGAGCTTCCAGTTCTGTATGATTCACATAAAGAGATGACATAGTAAATGTTAAGGTATCCCGAGAAAAATCTATAGGAAAAAGTGTCACCTAGTTAGTCAGAGGGCCATGGAAATTAAAGGGACACAAAGCAGCACCTATCCTAGTGAGAAAATTGAAGTTGAATATATTTCTTGCAGATACTTATCCGATTGGAGCGTTAGGTAAATTACATTTTCCTCCACAGCAATTAGTTGGTCATACAAAGAGCACCCCAACAATCAGTTCCACCAAAGGCCAAAGCAGTAGATGCAAACCGAGTATATCGTACTAGATTCACCAATTCTTCTTCTAGAGCATGCCCAGTGATATTGGATAAATAGGAAAAATTCTCTTCTAAAGGAGGAACCTGGCGTTTCCTTTAAGAAATAGGGCATGACCTCCCCCCTCCCCACTTGAGAGGACTAAATTCACACGGTGGATGTTGAGGAGAATTCGAAGCAGCAGCAATCCCAGAGAGATTCGAAGTGGTGGAATACCCACTATAGTTCTTCTAGATCCGACTCTCACTGTAAAAGTCAGAGCGCTTCCTCGTCCTTTATTGAACCTACACGCAATCAGTACCAACATAAATATTCCATAAGTAAGCAAGTTGAAGGAGAAGAAGAGAAGAGCTTTCAAGATTTACAAAAAATAATAATTCTTTCTTCCCTAGTATAGACATCCATGAGTAAGAAGTTATCGATGAGGTGTTTCAAACATGTATGGGTGGCTTCATCCTGAGGAGTAACGCCCATGAGATAACCCATATCTTTTACAAAACTCACCAGTTACTTCTTCAGATACAACTCTTCCTGTGAAAGGTCTTTCCCTTCCTAAGTGAATCATCCATTTCCCATCAAGAAACAAATTTCATTGCAATACTTAGAGAACAACTCCAAATATTTACTCCTCGCTCCATCTCTGACAGTGCAGATCGTTGCATGAGCCTCTAGGCAGACATGGTAACCAGAAAAATTCAATCTTTAAAATGTTTCAATTTCTTATAGAAAGCCCCAAAGCCCCAAATGGTCAACACCAGGGAACCTAAACCTTGGCTCTGCGTCTGGGTCACAGCGCCACTGTAAACTCTAAAAATATGAAAGAAATATGTTAGAGAAGACTTCCCATTCAAGTATTACCACCAATACTGGAAGAACTTCCAATACGCCCAACTCGCCGGTTGAAGCTGCGACAGAGCCACAACTAGATGCTTAAGAAGTTCCATCTCAAAAACATTAAGAGATAGTCGAAGACCCAAGATCGAGAAAATGAATTCTTAAAAAGGATTGAAAAATCTTCAACTCGTTGCATAATCTATAATTTTCACCAGGATTTAAAACAACATAATCTAAAGACGGACCGACATCAAGAAATGGCCATCAAAATTACCCTCTTGAGTGAAGAAATAAATAGTTGAAAATAAGCAGAACAAGTCCAGATACATCCAATGACTCTTTGTGTTGCACGCCTAACAAGTAGTAGGTTGTTATTGAAGGTGGAGAAAAACACAAGAAATGGGAGGTTCGAATTGGGTTTTAAGAAAATATTCTCCTTTAGAAAATTCTTTGATTGAACTATGAAAGAATATAGAATGCAATAAATATAATTAGACATATTCAGTTATCCAGGTTCACCATTAACTAGATTTCTCCTGCCCACCCTCCTCAGGTGATTTTTCCTTCAACAAAGACTTAATCCACTATAATCAAACTGATTATAGATGAACGGGCTACCCGTTGCTGACTAACAATCAAACAATGATCAGCAACCATTGACCCCTTAAGAAATGTGACCTACCTGATCTTTTTTACCAGGATTTCACAATGACTAGCAACCATTATCATCTTGAGTCTTCTGACTAATACTAGTAACTCAAGGAACAACACAATGATACATTCAGTCATCTCCATGAGACATAACGATCATTGACCTTATCATATATCTGATCAACTTGATCTTTCTATGAGGGATTTCTCACAATGACCCTTCGCCAGCGATCTCTTAAGAATTCTGACCTTCCTGGTCCCCTAAGAGATATAGCGATCATTGATCCAATAAGGTTTCTGACCAAACTGGTCCCTTAGAATAGGATTTCATCTACGATGACCACAACCAACATCTTCTCAAGTATTCTCATCTTCACTCGATCACTTGAAGAACCAACCAATTCTGAACAAAATTATTTTTCTAGAGATTACATGAGTGTTTCTTATCAAGCAGATTACTCCTAATTTAAGTACATATTGTTTGACATAATTCTGCATAACAACTCTAGTGTACAAATAATTTACATGAAGCTTCTTAAGAAATAACACAATTTGAGCAACAACTCTTGTGTTTTACATTGTTTCTACAAATATGAATATTATCTAAATTGAGTGCAACATCTTATATTCTTCTTGTTTTCATCTTCTTTGTTGAGAAAGCTATGAGAAACAACTCCTTTCTTCTTAATAATTCTTCCAAGATGTATATGATTGATAGTTTGAATAGCATCTTGCATAATTCTTCTTCTTCATCTTCTTTCTTCAGTAAGCAAGATATCAGCAACAACTTCTTGCTTTTCATTTCATCTCTTCAACGTTGTAAATATTTGATATTAAGAATATCAACGTTGTTTGGACTAAGATATCGTCTTCTTTTCTAATATCTTCGTCACTTTATTGATATATGGTTAGCTTCAGCATGTTCAGCGTAACAACTCCAACAACGTCTGCATCCATGGCTTTTCAACAACTTTTCTTCATTTCATCTTTCTCCTTTTATAGCCTTTCAAATAAAAGAGTCGTTGTAAGGATTGAGAAGTATTTTCTCCTTCCAACCGTTAATTCCCCACGGATATATTTAAGAGAGGTTTGGAACAGTATAAAACATCACTTTCCTATACCTGCTACTCGCAGAGGTTAACGTACGACAGTGGGAGAACAACTTCTTTGAATAGTACAATAAATGTACTATTTTCTTCTTGACTAAGTTTATTGATCTTTATCTTCTGATGATGTATTTCTGATTTTGAAGTATTAAGCTTAGAAGAGATCAATCACTTGTCTTTGTTCTTCTGATGAGTGACTGATGAGTAGTTCATAAACTACTTTATCGTTGTAGCGCAGGAACATCAGAGTGGTCAGAATCAAATCTTGTTTTCAGAATTATAGGCAACAGTCTATCTAAAACACAAAGCTTTTCTTTTGATCTAGAACTAATCTTGAAGGCATATTGATTTTCTAATATGAGAGATGAAGATTATGTTGAGAAGATGTTTCATTTTAGATTATTTCAATAGTGGATTCTTATTTTCAGAATGATCGACAACAACATATCTGAAGTAACAAGTCTTTGAAATTGTACATGAAATCTTTTCTGATAAAGATATCAAAAGCTTTTCTGATGTTGGATTTTGAAATCAGATATTGTGACAAAAACCTATCTGATTCTCAAGTCATTGAGTTCTTGGGCTTTGATTCCTTTCTTCTTGCTAGATTGTTTTTGGTTGAGGAGTGATAATGATCCAGAAGATTCTTCTTTATGGTAGAGTCATAGTCTTTCATATATTTTAACATTGTCTTCATATATATATATATATATATATATATATATATATATATATATATATATATATATATATATATATATATATATATATATATATATATATATATATATATATATATATATATATATATATATATATATATATATATATATATATATATATATATATATATATATATATATATATATATATATATATATATATATATATATATAAGCAACAACTTATCTGATGAACAATTTCTTCTTTAAGTGAAAGCTCTTCGGATCTACTTCTTGAGTTGACCATTGATTCTTGATTATCATCTTTTCTAAAGTGCATATATGATGTCTGATTTCTGAAGCAACAACTTATACCAGTACATCTGATTTGGATGTCGAGTTCCTTCTTTCTGATCCTTTGAATTTTAATCTTTGGAATGAGCTGAAAGCAACAACTTATTATTAGCTACATCTTTTTTTTTATAAAGAATTCCTTTCTTTCTTTGGATGGAAGCTTATATGTTTTATGATCTTAGAGAAACGCTTTCCTTAGAACATAACTGATTCCCTTTCCGATGAACATTCAACATTCCCTAGAACTGCTGATGTTTCTGATGATATTACTTATGTTGTGTAGATTCTCTTGAGAAGATATCATCCTTTGATTTGTCATCTGATGGACTTCCGATGTTGAATAGAAATGAGTCCATAAGATTTTCTTTCTTTAATCCTTTCTTCTGATAGAATACTTCTGATTTTGAATGAAGGTTCATATTCCATGAATTCTCCGAGTCTTTGGAATCTTGACTTTGTCTTCAAATACATGAACATCAACTCTTTTGATGAGCAAATATTGACTTATGATCTTGGAGTAGAAGCTTTCTCTATATGTGTTCAGAATCTTGACTTCGTCTTTAGAATCATAAGAAACAACTCTTCTAATAAACTTATTTTGACTTCTGATCTTCTGCTTTGGAAGCTTGTTTCTTGTCTCCTCTTGATTTCTGATCTTGAAGCAGCAGCTTATCAGAAATTATTTCTTCTTGTAAACTCATTGAGATTATTTTCTTTGTCGAACATTCAACATTTAATAGAACTACCGATGTTACATTAGAAACAAAACTCAATGGTTCTTCTTCTGAGTGGTAATGTGATTCTAATGATATCTTAATTAAGATTATCCAGAATACTAACAATGTATCTCTACACTCTCAATGAATCCATTAGAACTAAATTTGGTCTGCATAAAATATATGCTTTTTATCATTAAAAATTAGAGATTAAACAAAAATCCAAATCATGTTCTTACAATCTCACTCTTTTTCATGATGACAAAATCATGTATTTTGATGGAAAATTTTTACAGGGTTAAAATATAAACAAAGTAAATTAAGAGTTTAGAAAACTCCCACTTAGTTGGAAACTCCCCCTAGGATAAACAATCTCCTCTTGAATAATAAACTTATGATCATTCAGAGCTTAAGAGCATTATTATCCTTTCTTAGAATATGATCAACATCATTGATTTAACCTTTAAGTTTATCATATTATCTATTCTTTCAGAGCATTAGAAACAATGGTCGTTCTTTATCAGAACTTGATTTATCAGAGTGAATGCAATGTTTCTTTAGAGATGTTCTTATCAAAAACATTATTCTTTCTCCCCCTTTTTGTCATAATCATAAAGGTAAAAAGAAATACATGATTAAAAGACAATAATCAAAGACCGCATAACATGAAAAAATCCAAAATAAAACATACTAAACAACTTCTTGTCAACAAAAACATTTCAATAATTGTCTTGATAGAGAAAACAAGCATAGCAAAAAAAATTCATACAACAAAATATTCAAGCATAATCCTAACACAATAAAGTTCCTAAGGTGTAGGAGTATTATGGGTGTTTTGTTCTAACTTACTAACAAAATCCTTAATAAAGTTATTAAATTCCGCTTGTTTGACCAACAACTCTCTAACATTCACTTGTTCACTTTGCATCTCCTCCATGGTCTTTGGGAGCTTAGGAAATAAGCCAGAACTTCTTCTAGAAAGTT